ATAGAAATACAACTAATGATTCGAGTGTGTAGTTCTCTGACAGACACTAATATAAAATATTTTCAGAAAATGATCGCTACGAAAGTTCACTACCTTCGTGAAAAGAACACTAACAACGACACATTAAACATTTTACATGAGATGTCGGAAACAGTACTCTATACCTATAAGGTTGTGTTCATGAACACAAACATTTTTTGATATGTTTTGGAGTTTATTTAGTGTACTGTTCACGTAGTGTTTTTTAAAAAAAATACAGAACAATACACAATACAAAGTTCAATGTTTGGTATTTTATAGTTTATTTTCCTTCACTGGTTAGTACTACTTCTTTTCACTTATTGTTTTTAAAATTTTTTTGGACATAAAGTTCAATTAGCTCAATTTCAATTGAACCCATTTATTGCAATAATTGATTTACAAGTAAAGTGAATCATAAGCGAAAACTTAATCATTTCATTTTCTTCAGCCTTCTCTATTATTTTTAATTTTCGCAAAACAAATTTTTGTACTCATTATAACAATAGGAAAAAATATGAACTTCATTTTCTACACCTGATCAAATTAATTATTGTAATATACCAATTTTACTTATTTTTCGATTTTATTTGTTTTAGTTCGACTCGTTCACTGCTTCACAAACATGTTGAACACTGTGTATTTTAAAAACCTTGATTCGTATAGCATTTAAGAAGCATTTTAATTAATTCAATATTGCTTATTGGTTATAGATTAAGTACTTGAAACTTACTCTATATAAAGCAGATTTAGGTATTCAACCTGAATCAAAGAATAGATTTTATTGTATGATTAATTTCTTTATTGTTTGAATATCTTTTATACAGTTTTTTGTGCAATAATATTATCAATATTAATAATACCTTAGCAACAAATTGATTGGAAAACTGTTAACAGTGCATAATGCAACTGGAGCAATTTCACCGTTGCTCCAGTTAAGTTGTTGCCACAGTTCAACATAAATATTCTAAAATAATTTATTTCACATTCGCTAAATTGCTTAAAAATATAAATTGAATGACACAATTTAGCAATACGAAATTACTTATTTATTACCAAAATTAATGATAAATTGCTACCTTAACAGACACTACAAATCAATGTTTTAATTAAACCATTTAAACTATAATTAAAAATAAATTATTTCACTTTTTATAATTAATAAGTTTAAAAAAATCAATCTAACACTAATATTATAAATTCACATGAATATTTCTCATTCTAAATTTCATGTTGACTATAAGAATATAGATATAATGTACAGTCACTCGCATATATCTGCGTACACCCCAAAAAATTTTTAAAAATCTATCTTTCAATATTTTATATTTTTAATTTTTATTTTATTATTTATTAATTTTTTAATTTATATTTAATATTTTTAATCAATTATTTTTTTTAAACATAACTATAATTTATTGTTTTCAATAATATATTTTTTCCAAAATTTTTTAACAATGTCCTCTATTTTATTTTTAATTTTAAAATTAACAATACGAAAAAAGATACACGCAAAAGTCTGCGTACAGCTGGTTGAATTTGCCTGGAATGCAAGATTTTGCGATTACCGTTATGTTGTTTTTTCATGGATTTTGCTTATATTGTCTAAGCAATTAGTATTGGGCTGTTAAGCTGAGTTTTTGCATCACAATTCGGAGAATTACAGCAAGGCAATTACAGCAACGCTCTCTTGGGGAGCGAAAAATGTTCATAAAACTATTCTTAGATGGGAAATCTTATAGAAAAGTTGGTGCGTTAGTTGGAAGAGCCCACTCCTTCCTCCAATAAGTAATTAATAAGTACATTTCCACTGTCAGTATCTTACCAAAGGCTCGATCTGGTCGCCCGCCTTTACTAAAGGAGTGCGAGCAGATGACGATTATTAAGTGTATTCAGCGTAATCCCAGGATGACAGCCCACACAGCACAGATTCAAATCAAGGATAGTTTTTTCAAAACAGTTTTCGAGGTTACGGTAAAAAAGGCTGACTACCATAGTAGAGTCACCCGTAAAAAGCAAATGATTTCAGAAGTCAATAGGCAAAAGCGCTTAACTTTTGCTAATGAGTTTATTTCAAAACCCCTAGAATTCTGGAATCAAGTTATATTTTAAGACGAAAGTAAGTTCTGCATGTTTGGAAACAAGAGAAAAGCTTTGGTATGGAGGAAAACCGAAGAAGCATTCAAAAACAAAATGTAGTCGGCACAGTTATACATGGAGGAAGCGACATAATCGTGTGAGGGTGTATGGCATCAAGCGGTGTGGGAATCTTGACATTAATCGAAACAACTATGAAGCAGGAAATATATATCAACATTTTAAAAAAAACAATTTAAAAGAAAGTGCTAAGAAATTGGAGCTTGAACGTGAATTTTGGTTCCGAGAAGACAATGACCCAAAGCACACAGCACAGAATACAAAGCTTTGGCTGTTTTATAATGTCAAATCTCTGCTGCGAACACCTCCTCAGAGTCTTTAACTTTAACCAAAAAATCCGAAAACACACAATAACATTGAAAAATATGCTCAAGGATGTAATTGTGGATGAATAGGGCAATATTACTGCTGATGAAATGAAAAAACTTGTCGATTCCATGCCAAAATACCTTGCGGAGGTTTTGCAGAAAAAAGGATGCCCTACAAGTTATTGAAAAGGGTATATTATTACTCTACTTATAGGTTAAAGTGAGCTGTACGCAGACTTTTGCGTGTAGATGTTTTCGTAGTGTTAATTTTAAAATTAAAAATAAAATAGAAGATATTGTTATAAAATTTTGGAAAAAATATATTATTGAAGACAATGAATGACAGTTATATTTAAAAAAAATAATTAATAAATGGTCGAACAGTTCGAGTTGAAAGATTGATTTTAAAATTTATTTTTGGGGTGTACGCAGATATATGCGAGTGACTGTATAAACAGCTCTAAATAATAATAATGATCAACTAATTAATTAATATTAAGATCAATTAACAATTCTATTTATTAATGAATTTCAGCTTATTAATTTAAAGTAGGAGGATCAGCTATATTTCAAGAACTTAATAAAAAGCATTATACCTAAAGTTAATGATGGTATAAAATTGAATAATTTCTTATTGATTAATAAACTTCGACGTCGTAACTGTTTATATCTAATATTAGCTAAACAAAATAAATCTCAGAAATATAATCAATAATGTTCAATTTTTAATCTATATCCATCATAAACTCTTCAATTTCTTAAAGTTGTAATATCTGTTAGAACAATTCCTATATAAGGAACAGAAGAATCAATGATTAATGATTTTAAATCAATTTAACGTAAATAATTTAATCTAACTAAAATCCCTCTAATAAAAGAGATTCTAATAAATATATAATTAAATTTTAAACAAACAAATGAAATAAAAGAAAATTAAAATGGCTTAAATTTTTAAAAAATACAATCATTTAGAATTAAATATATAATTACTCAAAAAATAAAAACTTAAATTTCCTTATTTTTCATCCTAACGCCAAAGTTTGAATTAATCTACCATACCTTCCAAAATTAAGTTTAAAGCAAAAATATTTATTCTGGAAAATGTTAAAATCGAAAAAATTAATATAAAAATTACATTAAATTCAAATAGATTATTGTAATTTTTAAATATACTAATATTTTTCTTTCTACTGATATAAGTGTACATACTCAAAACCTCGACAAAATTAATTTCTATAAGAAATTACGTCACATTCTGCAAGCAAGAAATAGATATAAAATTGTTTCCATAAATATTAAATAAAATTAATAAAATTCAAAAAATAATGTTGAACTATTTAAAATATAATATTAAAATAAACAATATGTTTAAAATATATTATTAAAAAAACAAAAAGGGACCAAAATGCCAACAAAATAAAATAAATTAAAACATTATAAAATTCTAAAGGATTAAATATTATGATTTATATTATATTATGAATAATTGAACTTAATAATGTAGATAATAATTTTCGATTAAACTAATGGAAAATACTCTAATTAATAATACTAACTCCAATTTATACAATTAAAACAATAAATTAATTAATAAAAAATAATTAATTATCATTATTTAAGTTTTAATAGTTTAACAAAAACATTCCCAAATTTGCAAAAAAAAACGTTCCTGCTTATTTCTACTAGGAGTTATTCAAAATTAAAATCAATACCGCATTTCAAATCATACGTTTATTATTATTTATATTAAGTGCACACACTTTTTTTGTATACAAAAAGATATATACAAATTAGAATAAAAAAGAATGATGAATAAATTAATTAAAATTTGTAAAAATTGAACAATTATCTCTAACTTCATCTTTAATACGACGCAAACATACATTTAATTGATATATTATACTGTCTTGAAAAAAAATTTGAATATATAGATTTTATATATTTGTATATGTATAATATAGTAGGTATATTAATTTTTTATGTATTCAAAATTTAATGTTTAGTAATATATATTTATATAGCATTGATTTATTCATCTATTTATATATATATATTTATATCTATATTTATATATATATTTATATTTAAGTTATAAGTTTAAAACTAATTAATTTTTTTTTGTCACTAAGTTGTTTAAATTCTATAAACATTACATTTATCTGAAATGTGCAAAAGACAGAAAATATCTAAAATTATTTTAAAATAAAAAAAATTTAATTCGGAATGACACAAATATATATATATAATTTTTATAGAGATTTCTGGCCTTAAAAAAAAATATCTTTACTGTCAAAGATGCATAAAAAATTAACAAAATACCACTTACGGCTACTGTAAGTACCCTAATTAGATACAATCAACCTAAACGTTTTAACTAAAAATAGATATATTCCATTTATATTTATTATATCTGTATTTATTGTAAGCTTATCGAGTACATGTATCAAAAACTATATTAATTATGAACAAGTTTTAAATAGATAGTAATAGTTTTAATTAAATATAATTTATTTACAGGGTTATATGGAAACGATGATTTCCACAACGGCCTTCTACAGGCTTTTAGTTCTGGCAAGCAAGTCGAAGGACTTGTGCTTAATTTGAAAAGACAGGTAAGTCTTTAAATTATAAATGAAATATGAATATTTTATACAGTTTTTACTGGTAATTTAATATTTCCGTTATAACGAAACTCCTTTTTTTTTTGTTATACTTGAAAGGTATATATAAATTTTTTGAGAAGTTGTTTAGTAAATGTAATACACTGTGCACTCTTTTTCATACACATCGACAATGCATGTGTAAACCTTTAGTAGGAAGTTCAGTTCGTTTTTTGGTTAAAATGCATTAAAGAAAAGTGCGAAAACATGCATCCTTTTATCTATTTTGTTCTTTTTATAAAAATTTGGATACAATTTACAAGCGAAAAAAACCGACTAAAATCAAATAAAAATACATTTGCAATATAATAAAGAGCGTCTCTACTTCATGCAAAAATTTATGCAATACAAATAAGATCGCAATAAATAAATGTTTCTAGTAGTTTTCATAATCAAGATTATAGACATTTTTGTTTGTTGTTGCTTCAATTAAAAGTTCTCAACATCATTTAATCAAGTAATTAAATTAAACAATGAAAAAGTTCTTATTACACAATTTGCAAAATTATGTAGGGAATGACACAAATTTAAGTAATAGAAAACGTATATATGTATGTGGCCACATAGACCGTGATGGATTAAGCGATACTGCTGAACAGTTAATAGATTCCTATTAACACGGTTCGAAGAATTTTTTCTTTAGTACTGTTTATATTATTTGGATATTTTAAGAACTGAAACTATTCCGGTATTATTTTAATCGGATAGCAACGAAGTCTCCGGAAATGTTCGATTATTCGGATTTGCAAAAAATGCAAATGAACATTCATCACACAAACAAGCACAAATTTTTGTATGAATTCTAATTCTATTTTGTTGTCAGTATGATTTTAGGTCTATTCCACGGGCTACTCGTAGTAAAACTCAAGTAACAAACGAAAGGCGTTGTTTAAATATTAGAAATAAACTATGAATTGAAGGACATCCTGCCAGCGTGATGAACAGGCAGAGTTGTAAATTCTGCATTGTTTTAATTTTAACATAGTTTTATGATTGTAATTTAAAAACTGGCATATGTCTTAAAATAACATGTTCATTATTGAACAGGCATAACAAAAATAAAGTGTCAAATAACGCTTTCTACACAAATTTTCATGGAACAACTTTGTGTAAAGTCTGGAGAAAAATAGAAAAGGGAAATAGAAAACACAATTAGTCATCGCTTCTAATTTAATAGGCACGAGTTTTAAGCCTGGCATTTGCAGTCCAAATAAAATATACATGGACTATAAAGTAATTAAGAAATAGAATTAATTATGAATTTTAGAGTTTAAATGAGAATTTAAAAAAAAAATGTGAAAACTTTCGCAATAATAATAAAAATCTAATATTAAATTGAACTAATAATTTATTGAGCGATTCTGTTATAATAGCAGATTAATAATAAAATTTTTATCATATCTAACACTACCAATGCTTTCCCTTGAGTATGGGTGAAAAGCATGAGTGGTTTCTTTTTCAACGATTTTGACGGTTAGTATGGCCGACAAGGCCATACTCGCACGTAAGCTGTACATTGACGAAACTGAGCTGCTGGAATACATTATGAATGGAATTCCTGACTACGGTCTATGCTCACAAGCAATATTACAATGTTTCCGTGACAAATAGCATCTGTTAGAAGCATTCCATAAAATAAGCCTCCCAAAAACATCAACGTTAAAACAACCATCGACTGTTCGCCAAAGCACTTTGAATGAAAAACTAACCACAGCCGATTTTATAGTTTCTGCACCGACTAGTTGCTATAATTGCAACTCTTTTGGTCATGTTGCAGCTGAATGCCGTAACCAAAGCGAGAGTTGAAGGCGTGCTATGTTTATGTGCAAATAAGACATCGAGCTGCTGAATGCTCAATAAGGAAGACTATTGACGGTGACAACGTTGAGGGCTATAATAAAACACAATTCCCTTCCAATCACAACAAACAGTAAACACAACCGTGTTTGCCGTCAATCCAGACTATGAAATCATTTGTGGATGATCACCATGATAATGATTTTCTACCATGATCGGTTAGATCGATGTTATCGTATTATATCCACTCGTAATTTGATCAATCAATTTTCTTTGCGTTAATTCATATGGTATTCAATCATCAAGCGTCTTTGCGTAGCATATTCTTTTTAAATTATTCCAAGCTGTCATGTGGTTGATATTTAGTACCTCCGCTTTTTCTTTATAGTTTACATATTAGTCTTGCTCAACCAGCTGCAAAAGACCAGAATGTATGAATCTTTCAGATCGAAAGTTCCAAAACGAGCAAATCACTGTCGGGTTCGAGATTCAAGTCGATCGGAATATTCAACGTGTAAAAACGTCAAATAAATTTATTATTAAAAAACCATCGCGTTTTATGTAAAAATAAAATAAAACCGCAAATAAGATAGTTACTTATGTTCTTACTGCTCTCCTTCTCTCCTAAGTAGAGCATAGGGTCTCCATATAATTCATTAAGTTTTTTAACAAAATAGTATTATTACAATTTTATTTATTGTTTAATATATAATACTAGATAACCCGACAAACGTTGTTTTGCCTTATAAATTATTTCTAGTTTCTAGATAAATTCTAGTGTAGACAAAAAGTAATTTACTTATTATAAGTGTGTAAGTATGTGGTATATGCATGAAATAGGCATGGAGCGCTATGAACGAAAAGGAAAATAAAAATAACAAAAGCCAAACAATATTATTTTTAAGTTATTATAGTTTATTTATTAAATTATTAATTTAAAATCAATAGATTTGTATGATACCAAGTTCCCTGGCAACAACTGTTGTAAATAATAATAATGATAATGGGCCAGTAACATTAACCAACAACAGTCGAAGATAAAAGCACTCAGTGTGTCTTGGATTAACTGTAAATAAGCGTTCGATTTAAATAAATTGAGACATGCATCAACTGCTGAAACTTGCTTGCGGGGCATCCATTTATTGTTTGAGCCCATGTGAAACAGCGTGGTACTTGTGAATAGAGTAATGTTCTTGCAAAGGCACCAAAATCATCCGTACTATTACACAATTCAAAAAATGCAGTGAGTGTAGATTTAGGTGGATTTGTACCACGATCAATCACTGTCTCGTTCGTGAAAAATACACGCTGACCGTTTTCAAGATGGACGACTAACTGAACAGCTGCTAGATCCCGTTCATGAATTAGAAAACCGAAGATACGCCAAGCAGCTTTATTGGTGCTGATGTACCGACCAATTTGGTAGAGCATAATTTCACCGTTTTTGTTCATTGAAGCATTTACATTAGTATTTTCTACTCTAAACACAGCTATATCACTGCCTTTATGGACGTACTTATATATTTGATGCTCTTCACAGAACTGCAAAACTCAACATTAATATGAGCATTGTATGTCTTGCTTAGCAGAGGCGAATACGGCACCACCCACCATTTTCCCCCATTATCGGGATTTCTTCGACGATATATTGGATATCCGTCGGTATTTGTTCTAGTATCATTAGTGAAATCTTTAGAAAAATTTTTTGTACATTTTTCATCTGCCATGCAAGGCGAAGACGAAGAAACGAAGTGGATGTAAATTTATGTCAAAAAAATAAAAATTTTTTGTTAAAGCAATAAGGATATTTTTGCTGGGTAGGGACTCCCTAATCACTTTAGGGGTATGAAAAATAGATAGTAGCCGATTCTCAGACCTACTGAATACGCCTATAAAATTTGGTAAAAATCGGTAAAGCCGTTTCGGAGGAGTACGGAGGAGCCGTGACATGGAAATTTTATATATAAGACCGCAAACAGACATCGTTTGGCCTTGTGACTTATTGATGGTCTTTGCAAATGCCAATCTAATAGGAAATTGAACGCGTTTGAATTAAATTGGCTTGTCTGTGAGAATCATTGGAATTCGTGGCAATAAAACTTTTTCGTTTCGGACCTTGCCATTCAAAATTGTGGCTTCGATAATGTTTTTCATCAATTTTTTAATTACCAATCGCGTACTATTGCATAGCCGTGGTGGGTTCAAATTCCGAAGTAAAATAATCGGTGATTCAGTCGTAAAATGTGTGGTGGCATGCCTGGCAAATCCAGTGAGTTTAAAAACTCTGCTGGATAGTTTACAACTTCGTTGGTATCACAAACTGTATCGTTCGATTTGTATGATATTAAGTCGCCTGGCAATGTCTGTTTTATCTTGAAGTTTAATTCATCAACGTCCACGTTTTTTTGCTGCTAATTTCTCTTTCTGCCAGCCACGGATGATTTATGTATTGTATGTGTACATCTGGAAATACGCGGTCAATGAGAGCATTTTGGGAATCAACGATAGTGCGGATTTTAGGGGGCAGTTTTATGAATTCGGTATTTTCATAGACAACAACTTTTCATATCATAGCAAGTTTTCTTATTCAAAAATGTAAAAAAATGTATGTCAAAAAAATAAAAAAATTTTTGTTAAAGCAATAAAGATATTTTTGCTGGATAGGGACACCCTAATCACTTTAGCGGTATGAAAAATAGATAGTAGCCGATTCCCAGACCTACTGAATACGGATATAAAATTTGGTAAAAATTGGTAAAGCCGTTTCGGAGGAGTACGGTAACTAACATTTTGACGACGTTAATTTTATATATAAGATATTTATAGATTTTATAATTTTATTTAAAAACGAATTTGCACTTCAATTTTTAATTCAAGAGAAAATGAGTTTAAAATGAAAAATATTAGCTTTGTATCAAAATAAAAATAATTTCTTTTCGCAAATTAAGCGGAAACGGCTTATAGCTGTTTACAAACCTTATGACAAGATAAAAACTTTCTAAGAATAAGTCCAAATGTTATTGAAGGAAAAACACAAAGAAAAATCACACTTAATGCAACTATATAAATAAATTGAATGCCTTCTTAATCAAAAAATTATAAGATGCTATAACATAACGAAATTTTGTTGAAGACACAGCGATTTTCATATATTT